CTTAAAATCAAGAATGCTGTCGTGTGCAATACACGCATGGCGGAACTTGCTTTTCACGGGAGCACAACATGCATGTGTGCAAGAGGAAACATCCCAGCACAAGAGGCGCCGGTGAGAGGAGAGTGTTCTCCAGCTGGAGCTTACTAACCAGCGGTAAATCTCTTTATTAGAGAATGCAATACTACTAATAATAGTAATAATATTATCAATAGTAATATAATTACAGTAATGTGATGACTTATTTTGCATAGAATAAAGCTTGATCGAGCTTAGGAGTCAGGGCTGTTTTTATTATTGTAACACTATTAGGTATTATAGTCTTATCACTTGCCTGTATTTTGTTCAATAATCATGAAGACTTACAAAACGAGATGTTATATCCTTCCTATGATATAGGAAGAATATCACGGCAGTCACTTTTTCATACTGTAAATTAAAAGGTGAATGAGAACGTCTCTGTCAGCTCAATTGTCATGTAAAAAAAAAGATTGTAATTTTATACTTATAATAATTGTTTGTAGATTAATATTTTACCATTCTTTGTGTCCTGAAGTAAATGTCCTTTTTTCTGTTTCAGTTCTAAGAAAAGCAGTGGGCCTATTAAACAATGCTTAGAGAGCATGTGTGTGTGATTTGAGTTGGACCGAAATCTGAAAACTTAAAGAGAATGACCTGTTTAGTTGGCTCAAAGTTCATTAAAACAACTATTTCAAAAGCTGAAGTGATTTCCTTTTTTTATATTATAGTTAGACTCAGAATATGTACTGTATAACTCAATGTTTTAACTAATTGGAAAAGCTGAATAATCGTTCCAAACTTACTGATTAGTCCGCAAAATAATCGACGAATAGTCGATTAATCGTTCTAATAATCGTTAGATTAATCGATTATCAAAATAATCGTTTGTTGCAGCCCTAATTTATACACTACGAACTTATCCACTATGCACTTATACACTATGCACTTATACACTATGTACTTATCCACTATGCACTTATCCACTATGTACTTATACACTACGTATTTATACACTACGAACTTATCCACTATGCACTTATACACTATGTACTTATACGCTATGCACTTATACACTATGCACATATACACTATGCACTCATACACTATACAATTATACACTATGCACTTATGCACTTATACACTATGCACTTTTACACTATGAACTTATACACTAGGTACTTATACAGTATGCACTTATACAGTATGCACATATACACTATGCACTTATACACTATGCACTTATACACTATGCACTTATACACTGTGAACTTATACACTATGCACTTATAATATTATAAGTGCTATATAGCACTATGCTAATATTAGTCTCTCTGTTTATCCCGAGGTTTACCGCAGTCCGCCGGACCCAGGCCGTATCCAGATCTGATGAAGGACCATTGCCTGGACACGACCACAACGCAGTCCTGAAGTGTCAACTAGTCTCTCCCCAGTGAAGGCCTCCTTCCCTTTAACTCTGTACAGATAAAACGTTGTCGGGATAATTCCGGTTCGCGTGGCTACGCGGAAGAAATAAATAATTCTTTATTATTCATTTTTAAGGCCAGACAAGTGGTTTGTTGAGGGTTGGTTTGTAAAGAAAGACTACACGCCTGCGCACATATATATTCAAACGCGCATATCTATAGACTAAACACGTGTTGCGCATGTGCACGGAGGTTTGCGCTGAGGTAACCTTTTTTTTTATATTTTTCAAGGCTTGCACCTTGTAATCTATTTCAGGGAGTGCGTTCTCGAGACACCAGGCACTGTTTTGTGCAGATGAGCGGGCCGGAGCGCGTTGAGTGTTTTCTGTTAGAACGGTGTTGTGTAAGCGGACCCTAACTTAATAACTAATGATCTTTGCAACGGAAGTGAATCAATCAATCAAAACTAACTTTAGCTGGAAAATAACTTTATTCTAGAGCTGATGTAAAGCCTAAACAATCTCTGTTACTGTAATTTACTATTATCACTGTAAAGCTGCTTTGAAACAATCTATATGGTTAAAAGCGCTGTATAAATGAAGGTGACTTGACTTGACTTATGCACTATGCACTTATACACTATGTACTTATAAATTATGCACATATACACTACCATTCACCATTAGAGTCTGATCAATTTAATGAATGATTCAATGGATGAATGAACCAGCCGTTAGAACGAATCGTTTGAATGAATGACTCACTCATTAAGACAGGCCTGTGTCCGAATAGGCCCATTTCCATACCGCATATTAGGCGAAAAACAGTATGTGAGCCAAGTAGTGTGTCCGAGTTCATTGTGTTCATAAAACAGTGGGTGAAAAGTACCCGGGTGACCTACTACTTCCGGCGAGATTACGATGGACACTTACTATCCCATGAGGCCACGGGAGCGATGCAACGGATGCCGTACGTCACATGAGAGTGACAAAAACTAAATCTTATAGCATTATTTATGCAACTGTAAATGAATTCAAGCCAATTCTGAGCTGAGTCTGTGTAAAAACATATAAATGCCACTTCAGATGCAGTTTCTGGAAAGATAGATACCATCACAAAAACAAACTAAATATAGTATTGTTATCGACAAAATCCCATTTCAAATAAAATATCAATAACCCCATTAAAATCTAGTTCACTGTGTACAAACTGAACGGTGAAGCTCAGGAGATGTTTGTTGGGTTAATCGGACCAGACAGTAAAGCCCCGCTTTACATAACAGAGCAAAGCTTCCATTAGACACTCTTCCATTCTCTCTCTCCGCTCTGTTCTTCTTACTCCAGCAACTCCCCAGTTATTTACAACCGCTGGGATTACACACAATGTTCTCCATTAATATTTTATTAGTTCACTGATAATCACAGCTGAGGAGGAATACATTGGAGAAGAGCGCACACTGGCAGAAACTGCTGTTTATTACCAGTCACGGAGGAGGCATAACCAGTTAATGACTTAAGTAACTTCAGCAGGAAACATAAATGACAAACAAGTCCGTCTCATGGGGATGCTTGAATTATGCAACCACTATACACATAAATAAATAAAAAACACAGGAATCCACCTTTGTGACAAGAAAACTGGAAGCGAAATTCAAAGTGAGAATACTAAGAGAAAGATCCCACAGCAACACAAACATGAATTGCTTCTGTAAGAATGAGCAGGCTTTCAATTTGTACCATTGATTGTTTTTCCTCTCCATGAAATGGCTTTCAAACCAATTACAGTGAGCAGATGTCCTGTTTTGCATGGGGTAGTCCTGTATTTCCCAGAAAAAAACAGGACATCTGGCTACCCTAACAGCTACAGCCTAAAGCTTTCTGTAGAGACAGATAAAAAAAGGTTTGTCTGGCTCCTTCTCCACCCTAAAATATCCAAACCGTTTACCTTTGGTAAGATCCACCCCGCTGTCTGATTTTGATTTATTTGAACAAATCTGTTAATAGATCCTTTTTAACACCACCAAAATATAAGTTTAAAAAAGCTGTAAGGATCAGGAGAACTGCAGACGTTAGTTCAGAAAATCTGCAAAACTATCATTAGCCGCCACCTATACATAATCACCACTGCTTTGGGAGGGTTTCCATAAAAAACCCTGTCATCAAATAACAATCTCATGAGCCTACAGTTTGCCAAAGTCACGTGAACTTTCAGTGGAAATGGGTTGTGTAGTGTAGTCGAATGAGACCAAAACAACAACAAAAAAATAGGTTGAAAACAAAACTATAGGTATTTAGCATTGACAGATATTTTTACTGCTAAAAGGTTTTTTATTCAAAGGCCCCAAGACAACTTTGAATGGTAAATCTATCCCTGGTCATGGTTGGACATTTCAGTGATCCAAAGCACACCTCAAAATCACACAAACCCGAAATTAGCACAAAAATTACTAGAGAATCAGGGATTTGCCATCATGCCTATATCAGTTCACCATAGAAAAGCAAGGCTGCCAATATTAGTGTGTGATCATTTGCCTGGGTTTCACAGAAACAGAAAAAAGGTCATAACTCCCCCTACTGGTTAATATGTGCTGTACACACACACACACGCACACACACACACACACACACACACACACACACACACACACACACACACACACACACACACACACGCACGGACTGCATGACATTAAGCTGAAGACTGAACACCAAAAACCAGCCTCACAGATACAAAACCCAAACACAAATCACTCATTAATATCTTGTATTGCGACAAAACAATAAATGTCCACTTCTGTTTTCCAAGTCCCGAAGGTTGGTTAATAATGACCAAATTCTCATTTTTGAGGCAAAGTATTACTTTAAGAGTTGAATCAGAGTTTATGAATTCAAAGTCCAGCATTGGGGATAAAGTTAATATGACATGCACATTCCAAAGCTAAATAACGTACTGAAAAGTTTGTTTTCTTGATTCGTTTTCATTGCATGAGTAATTCGACCATCTATTAAAACGTAGAGCTTCTCAGCCTGTGCTTGCACTCAGTGTTCAGTGTACGCTCAGGGTCCTGGAGCAAAGCCTCTGTTCAAAAGTTTGGGGTCGGTAAGATTCTTTAAATGTTTTTGAAAGAAGTCTCTAATGCTCACCAAAATGCATTTATTTGATCAAAACTAGAGTCATATTTTCAAACTATTAAAATTTGAAATAGCTGTTTTCTATTTGAATATATTGTAAAATGTAATTTAGTCCTGTGATCAAAGCTGAATTTTCAGCATATAATATAGATATGCTTATAAATCAAGAATAAAGCATTTATAGCTGTATTTATAAACTGATTATTAATGTCTATTAATGCTTTATAAATGGTGAATTAACTATTTACTAATGCTTAATTAATGATTCATACAATGCAGTTATTATAAAGTGTAACCGAGAAATCTTTTTTAACATACAACTGACACTTTTAAATCAAATAAATGAATATTAAAAAAACGTATTGACCACAAACTTTTGTAGAGTGCATATAAAACATTTTTGTATGAAACTTTACTCCAGACTCACTTGGCAAGCTTCATTTCGATCTGTTGGCGTATCTCCTGTCGTTCCTGATCACTGCGCACAGGGAAGATGTTCCTGTCCTCCAGCTCCTGTTTACTGGGCCTGTTACGCAGCTTCACCGCCAGAAGCTCTTTTCTTATCCGCCGTGGAAGTGTGCCTGCACACACACACACACACATGATCATTTATGATGATGAAATGGACTAAGATCAGAAATCTGCACAAACAAGGGTCAATTACATTCATGCCCACGACATAATATAATTTATAACATAACATAACATAACATAACATAACATATAACATATAACATAACATAACATAACATAACATACTGTATAACACACAACATAACATAACATATAACATAACATAAAATAACATATAACATAACATAACATATAACATAACATAACATAACAACATATAACATAACATAACAAATAACATAACATAACAACATAACACAACAACATTTAACATAACATAAAATAACATATAACATAACATATAACATAACATAACATAACATAACAACATACAGTATAACATAACATATAACATAACAACATATAACATAACATAACATATAACTTAACATAACAACATAACACAACACAAAACATAACAACATATAACATAACATACCATATAACATAACATAACAACATATAACATAACATAACATATAACTTAACATAACAACATAACACAACACAAAACATAACAACATATAACATAACATAACATATAACATAACATATAACATATAACATAACATAACATAATTTCAATATTCATTGTATAAAACTGATGTATATTGGTTTTTATGACTGTAAAAATTATTTAGAATATAGTGGCATTAACAGAACAACCAATAATTTTTTCATAATAAACTTTTATCAAAAGTATTTGTTTATCAAGCAGTGTCAGAGAAGAGCTGGAAATGGAAATGTGATATATGTGATGTGTGAGGAAAACAAAGATAAATCAGGGTATATATCACTTGTGAACAGATCATGTTTGTGTGTAGTTTCCAGTCAATCTGTACATTTGATTTTATAAATAATTGCCATAAAATTAGCTTTAGCAAGACATAGTCTTTATTTCAATGTTTTTAAAATGTCATTTTGTCATTTCCACACATCTGGCTCATCCAAATTTGCTGTGACTTGTTCATGCCCTGTTTCAGTCCCAGTGCGCACCAGATGTTGCTGACAAATCAAGTCTAGAGGAAGAAAAGCCTCTTCGTTTCTGCCATGCGGCGTATTCTGAGCGCAACACTATTAACAGGCACTCAGAGACCAATTTGTGAAATAAAACACAAAAAAAACAAGATTTTTCTGGAGAAAATGTGAGCAGTGTTTGCTCGTTTAACCCTTAAAGCTACAATATGTTATTTCTTTCGTTGCTAGGAGTCGCTAACCTCTTACAATAACAAAGGCGTAGATTGATGACGCAGTGAATAAGCGGAATGGAACTTGTCGTCATGCTGATGGATCTAATAATGTTTGTGGGAAATTATGTTTATGGATGAGTGAATACATGATGTTTTTAACATGACTGTGGTGTGAAGCAGGGCGCGATTGCTAATGAGAGACAGATATCAGTGCCACACGCGAGTCCCGCGGATATAAAGGAATGAGGACATTTAATTCTACCGAACTACACGCAAGTGCTAGGTCAATTTATGGAACAAATTAAACTTGAGAGGTAACGCAGCGCTGTTTCACTTGGTCTAACGTTACACTATCACACTAAACTGCATTTGAGTGTGTTGAAAGTTATAATGTTATTCTATGTGTTAGTTTGTTGGCTGTATGAGGCTAGCAGTAAGCTAGATCAACATTAGAATAACATACTGATCATATTCTAAAATGTCATCACGTTGAGCTATATAACATTGATTAGTTTTATGTACATTTGCTCACCTGTCTAATAAAGCACATGTAAGAGCTCTGTTAGTTAGTTGCGAACGTGAAGCTCTCGGCATCTCGAAAACGCCACACTGATATTGATCCTCATTTTATTTCTCCTATTGTCCCAAAGTCTGCTTGCCATGTTCCATAATATTTGAACAAAACAACAACAGAGTGAGCGTGCCGACCTGTAGCCATGGTTACTATGGCAGTACGAGCGGACACCAGGGATAGCGCGGATATTACGTCATTGACAGGCGACAAGTGAACAGGGACGGGCCATTATTTAAAATTGTGCCCGTTTTTTTCAGAGAAAACTGGAATTTCTCTGAATTTACAAATTCTTGGAAACATTTAGGTAATGAGAGTACACAAAAGAAAGAAATATATAACACTGTGTAAGTGTTTTTTTTTTGTTGATATTTTGATACAAAATTCGTACATATTGTACCTTTAAAGGTACAATATGTAAGATTTTTGTAATAAAATATTAAACCCCTTGCACATTGTGATATATTTCATGCAGTTGTGTACTTACATTATCCCAAAAGTTCCCAAGGATTTTTAAATCCAGAGAAATTCCAGTTTTAAATATTGGCTTTTCCCTTGTCATTTTTTCATGCCTATCAATGACGTAATATCCAAAAAGCTCTTCCGCTTGTAGAAACCATAGAGATATATCCTGTACATAGATACCTCATTAGTGGCCGTTTCAATGAGCCGCTATAGCCAATGAGGAAGCTATGCATAGTTATCTATGATACAATATCTCGCACGCTGCTGTTGTGTCGTTCAGTCATCATGGTCCATGATTATTGATTGGCGAGTACAAAAAATCCCCAAAAAATGTAAACGTAGATCAACTGAGGCAAGCAGACTTTGGGAAAAACAGAGAAATAAAACAAGGATCAATAACGACGTGCCGTTTTCAGGATGGAGAGATAAGCGACAAACTTGGACTTGACAGAGACTCTGCTCTCGCATATGTTTTAATAGACAGGTAAGCAAATATAAAGTATTTATTGCATACATACAGTTATATTAAACTTTGTTTGTACTTCAATAACGCTTTTTATCTAGTCTGGTGACCAAGTCTACGGCAGTGAAATTAAATACAGTATGTGTTGCACAAAAGTTTTTAGCCATTATTTGCAAATACTGTGGTTTCGTTTAAATGTACTTGTAGTACGATTGTTTTAAACGTATAAAACTGCGCAGCATTAACTCACCAAATCATTTGACAAATAGTCACATATCAGTAACAGGCTAATACAGTATTACATTTCCCGTTCCTTGCAGCTAATTCATTATGATGACAAAATAGTCTGATCAAACGTACATGTAATACAAAAACTAATTTATTACCTCATCCGTGAACATGATTCGTGAAATATATGAATTATACCATACATCTCTGGATGAGGAAAAAGACATCTCTCATAGTTCCACTCTCCTTCATAGCGTCATCAAGCTTCGCCTTTGTTATTGTTTTAAGAAAAAAAGCAACCTCTGTCGGTGAAAACTTACATATTGTACCTTTAAATGCATGAATGTTTCACAAATCACTATTACATATTTGGCTCTTTAGTGACCCGGATCTATATCTAACACGGATGGACCTTTACTGGGATATTTTGTCTTTATTTTTCTACAGTAGAAGGAAGCGGAGATGCGTCGTCCATCTTTTTTTAAAGACTATGGTAAAAACATGACAAATCAAAACTAACAAAAACTAAAACTATTAAAAATATTTTTTTGGTCTAAAATTCTAAAATAATCATTATTTATTAACGCTGATGTCCACGATCAACATGTGATGTCAACCGAGGTCAAAGAAACACACCAGAGATGACAGAGTCGTTCCAGCTGTCCTGGTCGCTGTAGTATTCATCCACACGCATGTTCTCCTTGTTCTCTTCTGCCTCTTTCTTGTTCTCCACTTCTCCGCTCTGCTCATTCTCAGCGCTGGCGGTGCGGGACCCTCGTGCATCCGAGCGCCGTTTGGGGGAACAACGGATCTCCTTACTGTGGAAACTGACATTTAAAAGATCTGGTTGAAAATTTTCAATGCATAACAACACAAACAATACCATTCAGAATTTTAGTCTGGATGAGAAACTTTTGGAAACCGCTAATGTGGACGGAGAGCGTTTTAAAACGAAAACACTGTTTTCAAATCTACTAATGTAGCAGTAACATAATTTGATCAAAAGTGACAGTAAACACATTGTAGCATTGTTACAAAAAAAAAATTTGTTCTGAATAAATTATGTGTGTGTGGGGGGGGGGGGTGTATCATGGTTTTCACCAAAAAAGGGTCATGTGACACTGAAGACAGTTGTCATATTTCACAATATTACTGTTTTTGCTGTATTTTTGGTCAAACACATGCAGCCTTGGTGAGCAAGAGACTTTTTTAAAAACACTAAGGGCCTTTTTTAGGATCTAAGCGCATGGTCTAAAGCGATCGGCGCAAGAGCATTTACGGCGTGTCTGAATCCACTTTTGCTAGTTTAACGACGGGAAAAATGGTCGGCGCTCCCGGTGCATTGTCTAAAGGTGTCGTCTCTATTCTCTTAATGAGTGATGGGTGTGTTTTGTCCTTATTCTCTTAATGAGTAATGGGTGTGTGTTGTCTCTATTCTCTTAATGAGTAATGGGTGTGTTTTGTCTCTATTCTCTTAATGAGTAATGGGTGTGTTTTGGGCGTAACGTGCAATAAACCAATCAGACTCTCTCCTCCCATTCCCTTTAAAAGCCAGTTGCGCTCGCGCCATGGCGGATTCGCTATTTAAAATGGAGGCATTTGCAAGCAGAAAAACTGAACGCTTCTCCAGAGAGCAAACGGATCTGTTCGAGCTCGAGGTTAAAGCGAGCAGAACATCTACAGGACAAACTGTATGCGCGCTGTGGACCCGCCTATAGGCTCATATTACTAACACACTCTTTAAATAACAAAAAAATACTGCGCCATTGACTTTAGTCCAGGTTTCAGTTGGTCAATGGCGCAGTATATTTCAGTTCCTCAAAACGCTCCAACAATGCTCCTGAACACACACCTGGTTCTCAGACCAGCTGCCCATGGGTGCACAGATGGGCGCAAATGCTTTTGCTATTTAAACAACGTGGCGCAGGACGTGAAAATGAAAACTGCGTCGGGCTGAAACTAGCTTGCGTTGCGCCTGGCACTGCATTGCAACGGGTTTATGATAGGGCCCTATAATTCTTAATTATTCCAAACTTTTGACTACATAGCACACATTTCATATCAACTATTTTATATGGTTCTTTTAGTAAAATGATGACAGAATTTGTCAGAACTACTAGTGACGAGCTGTCCTCACCTGTCCTGCCGGTGTTTGGAGGCCAGTGCCCGGTGCAGTTCCTCGATGATGCAGCTCGGGGGCAGATGAGGGTGCAGGACCCCCGAGTGAGGCGAGCCGGTGGGGGTGGAGATCCTGCCCCGCAGGGCATCTTTGGGGAGGGTGAAGTTCCTGGGCAGAGTGGCTGGAGCCGGCCGGCCCTGAAGAGAGTGGGTGTCTACAGGACAAGAAAGGGTCCCGCTTTATATTAAGTGGCTTTAAGTACGTACTTACATTGAAATTAATAATTTAAAACAATGGCCTTATTGCGTACATGCATGTTTTTACATTGTACTTATATTTTGAAAATACCTGCATGTAATTACAGCTGTAATTAATTTATGTAATTACATTTGTAATTACACTGTTGACCCTTCCCTTACACCGTAACCCACCCTTAAACCTCAGCTGTCCCCAACCTTACCCGCATTACACCTCAATAGCAGCACAAGTGTTTTAGGTTACACTTTATTTCAAGGTGTCATTGTTACAGTGTATTTATATATTTGAATACTGAGTAATTATAATGAACTACATGTACTTACTTTAGGGTTAGGTTTTGGTTGAGGTTCAATTGCATGTAATTATGCATAATTTACTGTTATTACTACGATAAGTACATGTAACATTTGTAACAAAGACACTGTAAAATAAAGTATTACTGTGTTTTACAATACAACCTGAACACAATAAGTACATTGGACTTATTTTTCGGTGTAAGTACATAATACATAAAGCCACTTAATATAAAGTGGGGCCGAAAAAAAATACTTTTGTAATTATGTTTCATCGTTACACTCCTTTGGTCAAATCTAGAAAACAGGTATACATGCATGTGATGAATTGATACTGACTGTCCAGACTGCTCAGTCTATTAAGCAGCTTCACTGGTTTGGCTGGAGGAGTGCGAACTTCTCTGAGCGGTTTATCCTCCTTTCTCTCCTCATGGCCCTCGAGGGCCCCGACACCGGCCCCTCTACTCGAGGCCTCTACACACGGCTTGTCCTCATCCTCACTTTGCCCAAGTTCCCCTTCTGTTTCCGTCATCTCTGTGGTGTCTCGTGCTGAAAAGAGATCAGAAATGTGTGTTCTGTGATCTCTGACGCCACCTATTGGTAAATCAGTGATGCTCATTCTTTCAAGACAACAGATGTGTGTCCATTTCCCACCTTTTGATTGTGTCATCACTTACAAAATCATATTCACAAAAAGATACAGTGAACATGCACATATCATGCATGTTTATCAAATCAAATGTTTTTTAGAATTGTTAAAGTCAACATGAAACGGCATCCCCAACCCATTTTACTTCGCTAATGACGCATATTTCTGAAACAGACTATTATAAAATTGGACAGGACTTGATTTTATTGATTAGGAATTGATTGGATGGGTATTTCATATCAGATTGGGGTCAAACCTGAATGTGAGTTTGCAGTGGATTGTGGGGGATTTACTCCTTACCAACAACACACTTTTCTGAAGAGGCTGTTTGAACAGGACGTGCACTGTAAATGCACAAAAAAATGGTGTGGAATTTACTAATTGATGAGTGATTTAATAATTTTCACTCAGAAATTGGTAGTAAATTTCACAAATAATTACAAAGAAACTAATCAAATTAAACGTGACATTTTAAAGTGAAAAGACTGAAACAGTATTTTCTTGTAAAACGTACTCTAATAATCTTTGTTTTATTCACAAAATTAGAAAAATATTTGTGGAGTCTGAAGTTCAAGTTCAGCATTGAAATACAATAACATTATTGTAAAAACATTACAAATAATTTATTAACTATTGATATTTAGGGAAGGAATATTTAAGGAAGACTATCTTACCTATTACAGTAGCCTAAAACCATGCATAATAGATAATTACCAAATGGCAGAAATATTTCTGGGTATATTTTAAACCATGAAGTCATCTAACAAAAATATAATATTGTTTTGCTAACATTCTCATTAAGTTATGAAAACGTTATTTCTAAATATTCCCTTCCAGTTCAAAACGTCCAGTTTTTCAAATGTTTTATTTGTTTTTAAATATTTTTTATTTCTTGAATAGGCCTACAAATGTTAAGAGAACATTCCATTGTATCATTTTTCAAATAAGAAAAAATAAGAAATAAGACATTTTTTTATAAGAATGAGCCTATGATTCAATCTGGAAATAAACAAAAAATATACTGAGAAAAATTCCTCAGATGCCATGTCCGTAATTTATAGCAAAACATCTAGCATTAATTCAATCTCAAACAGATTCATTATAAGTTTTTTTTTAGTTATTACTCCTGCGTGACATCATTAACCAGTGGTTTAACGACCAATTTGCGACAATATGGTTTCGGGAAACAGTCGTGACTAGCTAGTTGATTTCTACAATGATGCATCGTACTATAGTAGTTAAGCAGCGAGTTACGTCGTTGTACGGGAAACACACCCCAGTTTAGCAAAAGACCAAACATTCACGAGTGCCGACCTGTAGACAGATTGTCCTCATCAGATCCCAGATCCTCGGAGTTGCTGGCCAGCGGCGCCATGGGCTCGTCCTCTCGGTCCTCGGCGTCTGAGTCCTCGAGCGATGGGCTTCCCGGATCGTCTGCGTTCCCACCACAGGCCAGGCCAGACTCTGTAAGCATGGGAAAAACCGGCCAGTCTTAAAAGGATAGTTCACCCAAAAATTAAAATTAGTCCATGATTTACTCGCCCTCAAGTCATCTTAGGTGTATATGACACTCTTCTTTCAGACGAATACAATCAAAGTTATATTAAAAAATTTCCTGGCTCTTCCAAGCTTTATAATGGCAGTGAATGGCTGTTTCTGGTTTCAAAGTCCAAAAAAAAGTGCATCTATCCATGATAAAAGTGCATCCATCCATCCATCCATGATAAAAGTGCATCTATCCATGATAAAAGTGCATCTATCCATGATAAAAGTGCATCTACCCATCATAAAAGTGCATCTACCCATCATAAAAGTGCATCTATCCATCATAAAAGTGCATCCATCCATCTATCCATCTATTTGCCAGCAGCCATATCACCCTGTAACCCAAGACTGGTTGCCCACTGAAGCTAAGCGGGGCTGAGCCTGGTTAGTACCTGGATGGGAGACCTTCTGGGAAAACCAGGTTGCTGCTGGAAGAGGTGTTAGTGAGGCCAGCAGGGGGTGCTCTCCCTGTGGTCTGTGTGGGTCCTAACGCCCCAGTATAGTGACGGGGACACTATACTGTCAAAGAGCACCGTCCTTCGGATGAGACGTTAAACCGAGGCCCTGACTCTCTGTGGTCATTAAAAATCCCAGGATGTCTTTCGAAAGAGTAGGGGTGTAACCCCGGCATCCTGGCCAAATTTGCCCAGTGGCCTCTGTCCATCGTGGCCACCTAATCATCCCTATATACTAATTGGCTTTATCACTCTGTCTCCTCTCCACCAGTAAGCTGGTGTGTGGTGGGCGTTCTGGCGCAATATGGCTGCCGTCGCATCATCCAAGTGGATGCTGCACATTGGTGGTGGTTGAGGAGATTCCCCCTTCTATGTGAAGCGCTTTGAGTGCCTAGAAAAGCGCTATATAAATGTAATGAATTATTATTATTATTATTATTATCCATGATAAAAGTGCATCTATCCATGATAAAAGTGCATCTATCCATGATAAAAGCACATCTATCCATCATAAAAGTGCATCTACCCATCATAAAAGTGCATCTATCCATCATAAAAGTGAACCCATCCATCCATCCTTCATAAAAGTGCATCTATCCATCATAAAAGTGCATCTATCCATCATAAAAGTGCATCTACCCATCATAAAAGTGCATCTATCCATCATAAAAGTGCATCTATCCATCATAAAAGTGCATCTGTTCATCATAAAAGTGAATCTATCCATCATGAAATTGCTCCGGGGGATGGGTTACAGTAATAAAGGCCTTCTGAAGTGAAGCGATGCATTCGTGTAAGAAAGAAATCCATATTTATAAAAATTTTAAGTAAAATTCAAGCTTCTGGCCAAACTCTACTTAAGTGCGCACTATGTAGTAGTCTACATAAGTCTACTTACGCCTAAAGCACAACTTACGCAACTCATGACATCAAAAGTAGCATAGTGCGTCATGGCGTAGCGTAAATATCAGCAGTGCGTTGCATTACTCACATAAGTTGCGCTTAGACTTAAGAAGAATCCGTATGTTCGTTTGACTGGAAGCTAGTTATTTTACTTTATAAAGTTTTAAATATTGTCATGGCCCCTCCTCTCCTTGCATATTTTTTCTTACACAAATGCATCACATCACTTCAGAAGGCCTTTATTAACCCTGTGTGGAGCACTTTTATGATGGATAGATGCACTTTTATGATGGATATATGTACTTTTATGATGGATAGATGTACTTTTATGATGGATAGATGCACTTTTATGATGGATAGATGCACTTTTATGATGGATAGATGTACTTTTATCATGGATAGATGCACTTTTATGATGGATAGATGCACTTTTATGATGGATAGATGTACTTTTATCATGGATAGATGCACTTTTATGATGGATAGATGGACTTGTATGATGGATAGATGCACTTTTATCATGGATAGATGCACTTTTATCAAGGATAGATGCAATTTTATGATGAATAGATGCACTTTTATGATGGACAGATGCACTTTTATGATGGATAGATGCACTTTTATGGACTTCAAAACAGAAACGGTCATTCACTGCCATTATAAAGCTTGGAAGAGCCAGGACATTTTTTAATAAAACTCCAAACTCAATGTCATTACAGTAAATCATGAGCTAAGTTTAATTTTTGGGGGAACCCTTTAACGGCTGTAATCACTATCTCATTAAAGCCTCAGAACACTCCTGGTGGAAGAGTTGCAGGTGATGATCTGCATGTGCTCTGCAGGGAGCGTTTGGCAGTGTTGGTGCAGTGAGTTTGGCAGTGTTGGTGCAGTGAGTTTGACAGTGTTGGTGCAGTGAGTTTGGCAGTGTTGGTGCAGTGAGTTTGGCAGTGTTGGTGCAGTGAGTTTGACAGTGTTGGTGCAGTGAGTTTGGCAGTGTTGGTGCAGTGAGTTTGGCAGTGTTGGTGCAGTGAGTTTGACAGTGTTGGTGCAGTGAGTTTGGCAGTGTTGGTGCAGTGAGTTTGGCAGTGTTGGTGCAGTGAGTTTGGCAGTGTTGGTGCAGTGAGTTTGACAGTGTTGGTGCAGTGAGTTTGGCAGTGTTGGTGCAGTGAGTTTGACAGTGTTGGGGCAGTGAGTTTGACAGTGTTGGTGCAGTGAGTTTGGCAGTGTTGGTGCAGTGAGTTTGGCAGTGTTGGTGCAGTGAGTTTGGCAGTGTTGGTGCAGTGAGTTTGGCAGTGTTGGTGCAGTGAGTTTGGCAGTGTTGGTGCAGTGAGTTTGGCAGTGTTGGTGCAGTGAGTTTGACAGTGTTGGTGCAGTGAGTTTGGCAGTGTTGGTGCAGTGAGTTTGACAGTGTTGGTGCAGTGAGTTTGGCAGTGTTGGTGCAGTGAGTTTGGCAGTGTTGGTGCAGTGAGTTTGGCAGTGTTGGTGCAGTGAGTTTGGCAGTGTTGGTGCAGTGAGTTTGGCAGTGTTGGTGCAGTGAGTTTGGCAGTGTTGGTGCAGTGAGTTTGGCAGTGTTGGTGCAGTGAGTTTGGCAGTGCTGGTGCAGTGAGTTTGGCAGTGTTGGTGCAGTGAGTTTGGCAGTGTTGGTGCAGTGAGTTTGGCAGTGTTGGTACAGTGAGTTTGGCAGTGTTGGTGCAGTGAGTTTGACAGTGTTGGTGCAGTGAGTTTGACAGTGTTGGTGCAGTGAGTTTGGCAGTGTTGGTGCAGTGAGTTTGGCAGTGTTGGTGCAGTGAGTTTGACAGTGTTGGTGCAGTGAGTTTGGCAGTGTTGGTGCAGTGAGTTTGACAGTGTTGGTGCAGTGAGTTTGACAGTGTTGGTGCAGTGAGTTTGGCAGTGTTGGTGCAGTGAGTTTGACAGTGTTGGTGCAGTGAGTTTGGCAGTGTTGGTGCAGTGAGTTTGGCAGTGTTGGTGCAGTGAGTTTGGCAGTGTTGGTGCAGTGAGTTTGACAGTGTTGGTGCAATGAGTTTGACAGTGTTGGTGCAGTGAGTTTGGCAGTGTTGGTGCAGTGAGTTTGACAGTGTTGGTGCAGTGAGTTTGGCAGTGTTGGTGCGGTGAGTTTGACAGTGTTGGTGCAGTGAGTTTGACAGTGTTGGTGCAATGAGTTTGACAGTGTTGGTGCAGTGAGTTTGGCAGTATTGGTGCAGTGAAGAGAGTGATGTGTGTGTTTCTCACCCATGCCAGCCTCTGCCAGGCCCTTTCTGACGAGATCCTCACGATTTTGCCTGCTGGGCACTTTCCTCTCCAGCACTGCAGATGCCATCAGATAAAGTTACATATAAATCTCACTGAACACAAACACTACAACCCTGCCGTTGGTAAATCAATATCTAATGCCTTTGGAGAGATACTAATAATCATTTATAAAAATAAGAGCTTTCAAAATGAATGTGATATTGTATGTAATAAATTAAAATTTATGTTAATTTTTTAACACCATTAAAAAGTTCATTCAATTTCTCATTAGAACTCTTTCATTCCACCAACAGTAAGCAATTAAAGATATGGTCAAGCTTTATTCGTAATAAAAGTCATAACTAAAGTCTGATGCATAAGCATAAGCTCTAAAATATTTTTTCTTCAGGTAGAAACTGCTAAAAAATATATATAGTTTTAAAAACCCATTTAATTACAAATCATTCGAAAAGTTGTCGAAACTTCTGTAATTATGGAATTTAATCATTTTAATAATTATAAGTTAAATATTAAGAATTATTTTATTTTATTACTAATTATTATTATTATAATTATACATATATTTATATATAAATATAAACTTAATATTTTTTTAATATTAAAAAATACATTTAAAAATACAATAATACAAACAATAATTTTATTATTAATTTCTTATAATTTTTTTAATAAAATAATTTAATAATATATAAACATATATTTGTTTTAATAACAAATATATGTTAATATTTACATAATATTTAATAATATTTTTATATAAATATAAACATAATCTTTTTTCAAATAATACCAAATTTTAAATATACAAAAAGAAAATATTAAAATTATTTTTAATAATAAATATTGTATTATTAATGTTTATTTATTATATTTTTATAATAATAATAAAAACATAATTTAATAATATATAAATATATATATAAACTATTTTTTATATAATTATAATTTTATATATTTCATATTTATAAAATATAAATATTATAATTATAATATTTATATTTTATAACCTTTCAATGTAAATATTTAATTAAACTAATACAAATTGCCATTCCTAGTTTCTACTTATAAAACAAGTTTGAAGATGAGCAGCGTTGAAATGCTGTCTTTGTCAAGGTGGCCTTAGAGTCAGAAAGGTTGAGAATGAGGGCCTTATAGCTTTATAAAACGCAATAAAATATTACACAGAATTTCATTAAAAAGTCTTTTAATTAAATTAATGAATTGGGATCAGTAAGTTTATGTCAATTGACCAAATCTGTGGCATAATATCGATTAAATAAAGAAAATAATTTTGACTAAATAAGCAAACATCTTTTCAACAACTTTGCACTGTTTATATCCCTCCGCTTGTCTGTTGGTTAGCTTGCGCACTACAAAGTGAGTATTTTTCAGTGAGTATTTCTGTAATTTACATCGTTCCACCAGTAGATGTCCTCATGAGTCATTGAATCATTCACTCAATCAATCCTGATACATTCAGAAACAAAACACCACTACAATTCTGCTCAGAAATTAGGAAAATTATTTGCATTGACCTACAAATATAGACAAAGTGACCTAAAGCAATATTGTGTCTAAATTTTATGTTATTGAAAATTAACTTCTTGTTTATTGAGCTACTGTATAAAATAAGTATCACACAAGCAATTGTGTCGTCGAGCTTTGATTCGGCTGTAGTGATTAGAAGTCACAGTTGCTCCTTTTGATATATAGATGAATCACACTGTTACTTCAGTGATTTTTCTTAAATTCAGCACATTACCCAGTCAGAATCCAGAACTAGAAATATTGATTTTTATTATTGCCATTATATTAGTATAATGAAATAGCATGACAGCAAGGACGATTATTTGATGGGGAAATAATGATCAATGTGATGTTTATAAGTTATTCAACATTTAGATAGTAGTTTCTTAACTCACCTGTAGAGCCCTGCCTCAGTTTTTCATTTTTCTTTTTCCTCCACTTCCAGGGCTTGAAGATTCGTCCCAGGCTGGCCAGTTTACTGTTGCGGCGGATGGGGGGAGTTCGGACCCCGGACACCAGACAACCAGAATGAAGTGTTCTGTGCTGATCCATCACATCTACGGCACAAAAACAGACAAGCAGAAATGAAGTTTGCATCAGAAACTAATCCTTCAGTTTATAATAACAACCAATAATCATATTTGCAGTAATGCACTTTAAGGCAGCTGTAGTAATCAACAAGAACACTGCTTCAGCATTAAATAAAGCATTTAAAACGCATTAAAACTCCAGCGGCCATCTGGTTTAAATCGTTCTGTTTCAGTCAGAATGAATCCAGTCCTATTTCAGGTTCTAAAAGTTCTGTTAATATAAATATATTGCAATCCGATTCAAATTAAATCATTTCCAAACCAAACTTGGCCAGTCATTGCGTTCAAAACTGAAGAAAGCTGTGATAATGTCATCAGAGCTACGGCAAGTAGGCCTATATAATTGTCTCTTTTTTCCTTTTTATCTAAATAGAAAACTGACACATTTATCAAAATAAGTCTTTAGCAAACATTTCAGGTTTTTACATGACAGCTTTTTAATCCAACTGAGCCATTAATCCTATTATAACAAATTATTTGGGTGCACGTAAACAAACATAGCTCCTGACTGCATCTCAAAACATTGTGGACCCCGTTTACACCAGTATTTAGTGTCGAGCACTAACACCACCTGAGACAGATGTTTAACAGCTGTAAAAGAGGCCTGTAAGAGCCAGTGATACTCCATGGGGAGAGAAAGGTGTCCGTCCAACCATTTGCTGTGCCAACACGATTTGTTTACCAAGGTGGAACAGCATATGGGTCATCTCTCCTGACGCAAAACATTAGTTTAATTCAAAAGATAAAGAAGCACATGACAAACTGACCAAAAAAACAAACAAAAAAATGGATGGCTTAATCTGTCACTCTGGATAAGATCATATGAATAGGAGCCGATGTTGGCTCTACACTGTCTTACTAAAATGAAGATGAAGTGTTTTTACTTTGTACACAGTTGAATTATATTCTAAGACAAACTGCAGGAGACACAGAGCACTGCATTATATCTGTCTCCCTCTCTGCACAGAAATACACCACACAAACAACCCACTGTTTAAAGTGCCCCTTATGCTATTTTAAAGGTTCCTAATGTTGTTTCAGAGTCTCCTACAACAGGTTTACACGCATACAAGCTCAAAAAACACTTTAATTTCCTCATAATATCCATTGCAGCATCAGCTCTTTTCTCTCAGTGTCTGAAACGGTTTATCAAGGATTCAGTCTCTCTAAACCTCGCCTCTCTAAAAGCTGCTCTGCTCTGATTGGTCAGATGGCCCAGTCTGTTGTGATTGGTCGATCGTGTTGGACACTAAACGCTCATTATCATATCTGAGTTTCAGCTCTGGATCTTCCTCAGCTCTTGATTCTCAGTGATACGAACAGTAACGATAGTGTCGGTTTTACCGTTTCAATCTCATCAAAGTCAATTTGCTTTGTCAGCAGAAAACAGCGTCTTCTCCACATGAACAACACGAGCCAAACTCTTCCAGTCTCAGATACAACTACAGTGTTTGAGGGTCAAAGTAGACGTTGTTCACGGCAGCCGATGAAGAACATAGACTGGCATTATGCAAATCTGTTACAAACATACGCAGATTCAGCAGGAAGTGAGACTGGAAATACTGACGACTCGTTTCAGTTCAGAATCACTTCTTTCTTTCGGGAGACAAAAACTCCATTTATCTGCACTTTGAAACTTTGCAGATCTTTTACAATCACAAACAGCTCTATTACACACCACATGAAAGGGAATATCAGAAAAAGATTAATAGTAGCACTTTACAATACAATCCTGTATTCACCAAGGAAATCAAGTCAGCTTTGATTCAACTCCTGCAACTCAAGCCACAAACTGCTCCTTGTTTCACGACAGCCGAGAGAAACGTCAGTCTATCAGACAGGATTAATGCGTCTCGAAGCCCATCAAACACCTGACTCGAGAGGCTTCGAGAGCGAGCTGCGGGTCCAGCATTAGACGCGTCTCGTCCCACACAGTCTGGCTCGACGGAGAGCTCACACCTCGGGAAAACTGCAGATGAACCGTGGGCAGCGCCGAGAGCTTCTATCTCTGTCTGATTCTTACAGTTGTCACACCTAAACCGCATGAAAGTGAAAAAACAACAACAACAACAACACCTGTTTATATCAGAAGGAATAGTGATGGCCGTAAAATCATCTATAATTCGTTTTTATAACTGACTTAAAGTCCCCCTGTGGTGAAAATCCAGTTTTTAATGTTGTTTATATGTCTATGCGGTGTTTTTAATATGCTTTAGGACAAACCATGTGTAAATTCATAAGTCGACAGCATTGCTGAGTATTTTCTGCTTAAAACTGCAGTGAACCAAAGACAGTCTCAAAAACACGGTTTGAAATCGCTGGTGTTTCTGACGTCACAAACTACCTTGTAACCAATCAGATCAACGTGTGATCGTCAACCAGTGGATCTCTGAGCCGAGAGAGTGAGTGGAGGCGGGGCTTATTTGCATATTCATAGAACCGTGCATACTAAATGAGGCAAGGGTGTCGAGTTACATTCAAGATATTTTAAGGCATGAAGACATTTTTTAAGGACAAAACATTTCAAATATGTAATTCTGGTGATCAAATATGAGTTTTAAGGGATAAAATTATTGACTACTGGGGACTTTAATAATTATATTGATTCAGCAATCCTATAAGATTATTGCAAATCACACTGTACAACATGGAACTAAAAAACTTAAGTACAAAATCTATGTAGACTGTACAATGATGACACCTATTTAATAGTCGGCTACTGTGTGTGTGTGTGTGTGTGTTTAATGTATTTGTAAACATTTTAAGAAACACTGAATATGAATGCAATTAATGTCTAATAAAGGTTGGTTTAAAGCACTTAATTAATGTCATTTTCCTGTTTCCCATGACCTAATTTAAAGTGAGAAATATTTACTGTTATTAAGTTGTTAAAACATTATCTAACTACTATTATTTAAGCGAATTAAACACTAATAATGTGTTAATTACAGTGACAATGAATTAAGAACGTGCTATTTGTATATAGTGTATTAATGTATTACAGTTAATAAACTAAGAATTATTTGTAAGTACTGTACAGTACTTACATGTACTTATTGTACTTACCTAGAAAGTACTGGCTAACATAAGGTAAGTACATGGGTCAGGGGTAGGTTCAGGGTTAGTACCTAGTTATTACCCAGTAATTGTAATTACTATAATAACTACATAGTAAGTACATGGGTAACAGGACTGTAAAAGGAAGCGTTACCGTACTTTATTACACTATACTTATTATAATGTGTTATCCAATTTATTATTTTATCAGATTCTAAGGCTGGACTTGTTCTAGTAACAGTAATTCTGAACTTTGAAAAGCATCAAAACAATATTAAAAATGCAGTGTTGTGTTTTGCTGGTGTGGTTAAATATTCTCACAGTGTGTGTCTGAAGGAAACACATCCTCCTCCAGCTAAACTTGTCTTTACAAAACACTGCAGCTCCTCGCTCACCAACATCCACAAGAGAAGCATTCATGTTCGTCTACAAGAAATCCGAAAGATTGACGCTGTGCTGCGCATTATGCGTATAAATGTAAAGCACTTATATAACAGCTCAGTATCACATGTACAGTGTGAGTCGCGAGCAGAAGATGTTCCTCAGTGCTGTTAGACTGAAGCCAGACGATGTGAAGCAGGTCAGCTGATCGTGTCTTACTGTAGCAGAGCAGAATCCAGGTCAAGCCTGTTAGTTTCTGCAGCTGAAGCACAAGTCAGGGTCAGAGCGCCGTTGCCATGGTTACCCCTCAGAGGCGCAGCATCACTAACGGGGGTTGCCGGGCGGACGGGGTGGCTGTTGCCATGGTTACCCCTCCGGATGCTGGGGAGGCTGTTGCCACGCAGAGAGACTAGAAACCCAGGAGAGCCAATCAGAGGCGAGCGACGAGGAACACACACCAGGCATCCCTCTGTTTATAAGTTGTTTTGAAAAATCCATCATGGGATGCTTAGTGCTCCATCATGGGATCAAAGTGTCATTTATAAACATATATTAAGAAATTAAACATAACTATGTTTCTTACTCACGCACATAACAGCATAAATAGAGAGAGATAATTAGAACAGATGTTCCATAACAAACGCACTCACACGCTATTTCAGCAAGTTCCCTCAGACGCTCAAGAGTTCAGCGCGCGCTGCCCTTTCACTCTTCATGGTGGAGCCTTTAGGCGTGTGTGTGTGTGTGTGTGTGTGTGTGTGTGTGTGTGTGTGTGTGTGTGTGTGTGTGTGTGTGTGACAGCTGGACTTTGAATCTTTGCTGCTTCCTTGAACACAACAACAATAGTCAAAAACGTCCTTATGAGAAGCGAGCGGACATTCCGGCAGCAGAACCCCTCGCGCGCGCGCGCACACATCCTCTTCCCGCGCCCTGACGCAACCCACAACTTTGATCACTGAATGTCATTCGTATTTTGTAAAGCAATATTTTTTTTCAAGACTTTTATTCTGCTTAAACTATAGAATTACGATTAGAATAACAATCTATTCCCGAAGAAAACCAAAAACCAAACAGTCTTATTTGCAGGGGAAAAAGCTTTGCAGGCATGTGACCCCCATGATTACACACACACACACACACACACACACACACACAGAGAGAGAGAGAGAGAGAGAGAGAGAGAGAGAGAGAGAGAGAGAGAGAGAGAGAGAGAGAGAGAGAGAGAGAGAGAGAGAGAGAGAGAGAGAGAGAGAGAGAGAGAGAGAGAGAGAGAGAGAGAGAGAGAGAGAGAGAGAGACTGGAGAGGATGCTAATGTCAAGGAATGTGCACGTGGATGGTGACAGTTCAAAGCATGAGAAGAGAAAAATCCCCAGTGTAAACCAGCTTTCATTTTGGAAGTCAATTTTTGGCACATTCCTTATATTACCTACAAAAGAGCTATTAAACAGCCTACACCATTATTGAAGAATTATTAAAGAAAGAAAGAAAGAAAGAAAGAAAGAAAGAAAGAAAGAAAGAAAGAAAGAAA